CCCGCGCCCCCCGTTCCCTCCGCGGTGACATCCGCGATGTTGCAGTGTCATGGTGCTCCCCCTCCTCCTCAGACACTTTCAGTGCTGCTCAGCGGGATGCGTTTCTTACCAATGAATAAAGAGGCAATTCGAGCTTAAATAGATTGTTACCTTCTAAATTATCATTATTTTTATTTCTATGTCCTGAGCCCAGTGGTGCCAGGAGAGCCGGTGAGGTGGCAGGGCAGCCTGGCCAGCTGGGATGAGCTCCCCAAACATCTCCTTGGCCTCCACTAGTTCTTGAACCTCCAGTAGTTGCCTTTGGAATTAATGTTTTTGGTTGCCACCTGCCAGGATCCGCTGATTTCTCCAGTACTTTGGTGAACAGAAGCCCGTAAGGCCAGTGAAGCCTCCAGGTTCACCTGTGCCCAGGTGTGCAAGGACAGGCGGAGCAAGAGCCCGGCCACCTGTGCCTTATTTCCTCCCAGGCAGTTGTTTTTGCCCCAAAACCTGTGTGCAGGCTCCCATAACGAGTCAACTCCGCGTCCATCAGACGTGTGCAGAGACGTTGCTGCTGCCTGGAGCTTCAGGGATGCCGGGGAGATGTTTGCTGGCCCCTTCTCTGTCTCCCTTTTGCCTTCTCTGCATCCGTTCTACCTCCCAACTGCCTGGGCAACTTTCATGCACCAGAAATACTCCCATAATGAGTCAACTCCGCGTCTATCGGACGCGTGCAGAGACATTAATGCTGCCTGGAGCTTCAGGGATGCTGGGGAGATGTTTGCTGGCCCCTTCTCTGTCTCCCTTTTGCCTTCTCTGCGTCCGTTCTACCTCCCAACTGCCTGGGCAACTTTCATGCACCAGAAATGCTCTTGGACTGCTGGAAACTAAACATTAAGCTGTTTTTCTTTCTTTTTTTTTGGGCTTTTGTTGTTTGTTTTAGCAGGATATGCTGAGTGCTTCCTTTTTGCTGGTGACCTTGCCAGAGGCGGGGAACCGGAGGGAGGGCTTGACCTGCTGATAGCGCTGATGGCCAGGGCTTGGCAGGAGCTTTGTTTGGATATGAAAAATAGGCAAAATTAAACGAGGGTCAAACCCCAATTCTGGGAATTTTCCCTTTGCAGAGGGAAAATGCGCCCGTAGCTCGTAGGAATTGTTTTTCCAGGCTCTGAAGAGCAGCTTTCGACCCGTAAATGACTCGAGAGTCCCAATTACCGCTCGTGTGCAGAGCTGAGCTTGCACTTCTCGGCTCCCTTTGGGAATTCCTGCAGGCCTCGCGTTGTCCCACGTGTGGCCGTGGCCGGGGAGCCTCCAAACCCGACCTTATCCCATTGGACACGTGTTTGTGGAACGTGCTTCCATATTTTTGGAGAGAGCTGCGTGTGCCCGTATATGCATGTATGCATGAATCTGTGTCTGTATGTATATATTTATATATGCATATATATATATATATGCATAAATGAATCTAGTGTCTAGGGGCGTGGAGAGGAGCAGTTTTGTAATCTAGAGCTGTTATCATTGACACTCATGATGCTTATTACACTTGTGACCTCTAACGATGGCCTGCAAAGGCCCTGCTTTGGATTGGGGCCCATTGCTGCGGTTATAGTGGTGAAACAGTCACCCGCAAGGAAACTAGATAGTTTTGTCATCTTATTTTATTCTGAGAGATCCTGGTTGCTCTCTGCGCTCTTCTCCTTGGTGTCCTTTTGCCCAGCATATGCAGGGGAATGTGTCGTGCGGATTCGGCCTGGAAACGCTTGCTTAGGGTGGCAGAATTCCCCCTGGATTTTGATGACCTTGCTTTTCCCGTTCTGCAGCTCGTAAATGTTTGGCAAGAAATGATTTTGGAGTCGTAATTCGCTCTTACTGCTTCTGCCGGGGGCCTTGGTTGCAGGAGAGGCGCCACAATGCTGGGTGATGGGCTGCGTGCGCTGCCCTCCTCGCTGTGCGGGTCTCAAACACTGAGATGAGTTTGAAATTAGAAAGGAAAAATAAAGGAATGTTGATTTTTGGTTAAAGAATTCTAAAAACTTGTAGTGTGATATGTGTCTTTAAATGGTGCCCATTTTTTCGTTGTATTTGTCTGAGAAATTCAATATTTGCCTTAGAAAGCAAGTAATGATCTTGTTATATTTGAATTATTTTGTGTTGGTTCCATTACTGCCTTTTTTCCCTTGGTTATTTCCTCTGGCAGCATTTCTCCTGAGATCTCCTTTGGTAGGAATGCTCTTTTGGGTGTCTGCTGTGTGCCAATTACATAGCTTACTTACTGAGGCAAAGTAATGCCTCAATACTGATGCAGGCACTGAAAAAAGAAAAAAAAACAAAGCCTTTAACTAAATTGTAAATAAATATCACCAAAACAAAAAATCATTTCTATTGTGTTCCCTCCCTAATGTATTTCAATAATGATATGTTGCTCTGCAATCCTTTCAAATCCATCTGTCTGGAGAGCTCGGCTCCTTCAGTCGCATTTTTTAACGTCTTTACGTATACCCAAAGAAAATTCTGGAGACTGGGATTTTATAAATACGCCACTGCCATCCTTGTTTTGTTTGTATGTCTGAGTAGAGGAATCATGAGACATAATATACTTTTCATTTTAGTTAGTGATTCTGCAGGGCAAAGTTACTGCAGTTAAAGTAGGACTTACTATTTTTTTTTCCAATTTTTGTTCAGGCTAAACAACTGTTTTCGTCTTCCTTTATCTTGGTAGAAGCATTTCAGCATTGCAGGCTCAGGACTTTCATAGTCCTGCTCTTAAGCTGCTGTAAAGCTCTGAAGGGCAGTTCAGGATGCGCAGGTAGCCCTAGCTCTGCCCGTCCCAACGCACGCGTGCGCCGGCGCAGGAAGGTCTCCTTTTCTCCTATTTTATGGGGTTGCTGGATTTCCCTTTATTACCAGGGAGCTGGAGATCTTGGAAAGCAGCACATGTGTCTACTCCCTTCTCCAACCTGAGCACTTTGGTGACATGTGCTGAGAAAAATGCTCCTGTGGTTCTGCACCTGGGCGGCAAAAACCTCCTGGTGCTTGGAGGGGACCAACCACCCCGTTCCTTGCGCCAGGGCTGTGCTCCCGCAGTGGCTGCTCCCTTGCTGTGGCTCTGGACACCAGTGCTGGGACTATCTGACCCCATGGAGGTCCATGAGTCCCATGGGAAGCTTGGGGCAAAGTCCTGAGGTGTCCCAGCAGCTCCAGCCTTGGAGGCCCTGCCTGGGCTCGCTGCCTCCAGCCCACGTGGTGCAACGAGCTCCAATGCAGGAGCTGTGGGAAGAGACGCTCAGGGTGTCCCTGTGAAGGCCGGGAGCTGAATCCTGAGGATGTTCTCCAAAAAGTGCGAGCAGAAGCCCATCCATTCTCCACTGCAGGGGGGTCCTGTGAAAACTCCTGTTTCTTCTGGGTGAACGTTGGGCTTGGAACCGATGGTTGGCAGAGTCATGATTTTTATTCCTGGGTTTTACCTGCTGTCTGCATAGCAATCATCTTCCAAGGGGACAGTTTAGCTTTAAGGAAGTCTTCTGTTCTTCCTCGTAATCTGCAAAGACATCTGTAATTACTGCTGGTAACTAAGGCAACCCAACGTTATGGTTCACGCATGGTGGGTTATAGGGTCTGCAAATACCTTCCTGCGTGTTGGTGCATGGCCAGAACTGCTGACACTGGAGCTGGGGTGGAAGGAGGACCGTGCAGGAGGAGGTGCTGGTGACGGGCTGGCCCTCTGTCACTTGGCTTATCTCAGGAGAATCCCGCAGTGCCCTAATGAGATTGCTAATGTGGCCCAGGGACGCTCAATGGTTCATCCCTTTGCTCAGTGTGTGGCCTTGGGTGACCCCAGAATGGAACAAATTGCTGCTGGCACCTGGGTAGCAAGTGGAGGTGCAGAGGACGTTGCTGCTCCAGCGTGGAGATGCGCAGGGGAAAGTGTGTCCGACTGCAGAGCATGGGGACCTTGTGTGTCCTGGTGCTCCTGGCCATACCTTTGAGTAGAATTGTGTCCTTTCTTTCTTTCTCTTTATTCCTTTAGGAAAATAATGGAGTAATTCCTAAGCAGAACAATTCCTAGTGTTATAGGAAAAAAGCTCAGCAAAGTGTTGTGCAATGAATTATTTTCATCTTCTTGGCGGGGGGGTAACTTTTGGTTTGCAGCAGATTGCATTTCCTTAAACCGTTTATTTCCTTGCATTTTTATGGTGGAAACATGGCAGTGTTAGTGAAGGGTGTGTGGTTGCTGATATGAAACCCCTCTTCCAGATGAAGCCATCCTTGCTGCTTTGATGGGACAAAAATCTAGGGAAGCTGAGGCAGTCTGGAAGATGAGTTAAAGGCCCTTACTATTTTCTTTCAAAAGGTATTTTTTTCATGAGTCATTTGGAAAAACTTTAAATAGCATACCCTGATTTTGTTTTTGAAGCAAGTTGCGTACCAGACTGTGTGCAGAACTTTATGGTGAGCCTTTAGGTACTGGGTAAAGACTTAAATCCACTGCTGCTAGTGAGTGTGAGAGGGTCTTTTTGGGTCCTCTTTAGGTAAAGTTACTCCTTGTGCTCTTTGGTATCAATCCATCTTCTGAGGGGAAAAAAAAAAAAAACCCAGAACAATGTTTTAGCTTTTAAAGCATCTGGATAAATATTGATTGGAATTTTATGATGGCGATTTATGAAGGCTGCTGGATCTGACATTTTCTCTCGTTATTTGGTAAAACTGTCTGGGTCCTTTGAACTGCATCTCTTGCCAGTTGAAAAAGTTGAAAATACACATCTTTGGTCCCTGGTGCTGGCATGCTAACACATGAATATATCTTGGGCTTATTTGAGAAACCTCACAACATCTATTTGTTTGCGCCCGTTGATTTGGGATCCCGTGAGGGCTGTCTTGGAACGGGAGGGAAGGCAGCAGGTCGCTGCCACCCGCAGCCCTGCGCGCAGGCATCTGCAGTCTCTCTCTTTTGCTTTCCCTGTGTTATTTATTTATGTATTTTTGCTGCCTCCCTGTAGGGGTTTCAGCTTTGCACGCCGAAAGTTCCGAGTTGCTGCCTGCGCTTTCGGGGCCGCGTTTCCCGCTGCCGCATCCCGCCTCGCGGAGCAGGATGCATCGACCTCGCGGGACGGAGCGCGCGGGGCCGCTCTGCGCCTCGGGCACCTGCTGCCCTCGTTAATGCAGCCCTCAACTGGGTGCATCTGATTGTGCTTCACCTACAGAGTGTGCGGCCCTGACGGGAAAGGCTCGCTTAGTGATTCTTTCTGCGTGTTTCAGTGACATTAAATAGGCCTATTTCTAGCTGGGAAATGCGATGGAGCTCCAGCAAAGCTGACACCCTGGGAGCTGTGCGGGTGCTTTTAAATGTCCTTTTTGGATTTTCTTTTAAAGGTCCTTTTTGGATTCATTTCTGCAGAGGAAGATACAAGTCCTGCATTTGTACGCTTGCGTTTTGTGGGCGGGAATGTGCAAGTTAAACTTCTTGTGGCATTTTAAATGCTTCGTTTTATTTTTTTAGTGTTATCAAATCGACTTTATGCTCTCTCTTCAATTTTTGTCCTCTCACCCCTTTCTCAGCGCAAAGCAGAGTTCCCGGTCCTCCGAGGCGGCCGAAGAGGAGAAGGAGCCGCGCACGGTGACGGTCAACCCCTCGCACATGAGGAAGGCGTTCAAGGTCATGAACGAGTTACGGAGGTAGGCGCGTGGCTTGGGGAGAACCCGGGCCCCCTCTGTCCAAACTGCTGGTCACACGGGGGTTGCTACTACACGTTAGGAAGGGACAGTGAAAACGCAACCTTTGGGCTCAAGGGGAGCCCCGGGGTGTCTTTGCACGACGGTGTGGGCGCACGGAGAGGGAAGGTTGACAAAATCTCCACGGATGCAGTAACTGCTGCCGTTGCATTAGCTGCGGAGTGGCAGTGCTTAAACCCAAGCTGTTTCACAGCTCTTCTACCTTGAGCCACCGAGATGTCTAGTGAGCTATTTTCCAACCAGTTCATTTGAGCCCTTTGCAAGTAAAACAGAAATTCAACCCAATTTTAAAGGAATCCCTGTATTCCCGATACCACACAGGTGCTGCTCACTATTCAGATGTTATGGTGAAAACAGGTAACGCGTTTTGCTCTTTCCTGCATGCCCTAAGCATGAAAAGATGCTCCAAGAGCCACCTCTCCTGCAGATAAGGATTTGTGGATATGCACCTTCTGCAGCGCAGGGGGACATTAGAAACATCTCCCTGTGCAGATGTTTGACAGTGGTTCTCAGGTGGTGCATGAGGAGCACAAAATGGAAATGTCCTTCCTTTGTAGCAATCGCATGAAGCCAAATATTTTCTTTGTGGCTTCCCTCTGGTCCTCTCTTTGTACTGACAACGAAAGGTCTGAAAATAGAGGTTTTTTTCAGCTATATTCAGAAATCCATTGTGCTACTATTATTCTGTTGTTAATTGAAGCATAGTGGGAGTAGCTGGAGCCTGGCAGTGTGTCTCTATTTTGCTAGTTCTTGTGCAACATTGCAATGCTGAAATGCATAAGGTTGAAGCTGCCCTAAAGCACCTGTTTATTGTTAGATTTTATTTTATTTTTTTACCCCCTGCCCTGGGTGCACTTCCTTTCTCAGCTTCTGCTGCTGTTCTGGAATATGCAGTTCCTATGTCTGCATGCGTTATGCACTGAGCCTGGCAATCAGTTAAGCTGTCAGCAATCAGTGTTAATAGCTACCTTGAATAACTGTGCCTCCATTTAATGCCTTCAGAAGGTCTCGAAAAATCTTGCTAAAGGCTTGCTGTAGTTGGTCACTTGAAGTGTTTGACTTCCAAATATAAATCAAATTAGTTTTCATGTGAAGCACTTCAGCTGAATATGGATAAGCTGGAGGGAATGAGAAGGCCTCCATTAAGTGACCATTAAAAAACTCCCCTACTTACCACTCTCCATTCCCCACTGGGGTAAGTGCAGAGCACAGACCTGCTGCTTATTTATTTCCCTATTTTACAACTATAGCCTTTTGTTTCACAATTTTGTTTATATATTTCAATGTGTGGAGCAGAGCAGGGAGACATACCGTGTCCCTTAGAAGCTCTGTGTCGATTTATTTCAAACGTAGTTTCCTAATGAAGAAAAATGCAGCATTGCGATAAGCAACTCTAAAGGGAAGGTAACATCTCGATTTGTTGACTCTGATCTTTTTATTTTTTTTTTCAGGCTTGACATTTGAAAAGAACACCCTCATTTTGCATTTGTATGCTCAGAGATCTTAAACCAACTTATTGGGAGGCTGAGCACTTGTAGCCGTCTGCATCTCAGCAGTCCTGTGCAAACATTAACTAATGAATCCTCAAAGGACATACACGGGGCTGCTGGAAAAGGTCACTGATTAATGAAGTGGCTTTGCCTAAGCTGGGCATTGAGTCTGTGGGGAGCTCAGAAATGTTTTGGTTTCTGCTGGGGACTCCTCATTTTATCTTGGTGGCTCTTAATCCCAGCCGAATTCATGTAATCAACTTAAGTTTCATCAGGGCCTCTGATAAACTCTAGTGCTTGGCTGCTCCTTGTGGGCAGAACGATGGGGAAGCCCTCTGTGCCAGGTGGGACACAACGGAAATTCAGGAGCTTATGGAGCAAATATTTCTTTCTCTACCAAGCCTGACCAAGAAGAAAGCTCCGAGAGCCCTTCCTTTTCTGCTCTAGCTTTCCAAACACTATATAAAGATCAAAGTGCTGTTTTTTCCCTCATATCACTGGCCATATCTTGTGTTAGGGATCTACCAGGCTCTTGAGCTCTTCTGCACCTTCTTGGAGCCCTACTCGTAGAGATGGAGGGAGAGCCTTTGCCATCCTCTGCTCTTTGGGCAGCATGTGTGTCTAGCTCAGCTTCCAGTTTCTTTTACGTTGAGTCAGAGCAGCTAGAGGCCTGCAACAAGCAGGGCTGCAGTGCTGGGAGGATGCAGGATTTGCCCTGCAGGCAGCTGATGGAGAAGAGGACCTTCCAGGGGGACTTGGCAGAAACTTCACTGCCTAATTATGACTCGGGTATCTTCTCCGAAGCGGCTGGATTTTTGGGCTGCTCTTTCAGGGTGTGCTGACGTAGCTTTTTGCATGACCAGGAGTTCTGAAACGACGCTTTGTCTTTTCTGGTGTTTTGCAGCAAGCGGCTCCTCTGCGACGTGGTGATTGTGGCCGAAGCTGTGGAGATGGAAGCTCACCGCGTGGTCCTTGCGGCCTGCAGCCCCTATTTTTGTGCCATGTTTACAGGTACTCTTCTCTACAGCCGTCACCGCACTCAGGTTGAGTGGATTTTGGGAAGCTCCTGGCTGTGTCCCTGTGGAAGTATCTGCAGCAGAGGATGTAACATGGGCCTCTAGAGAGGATTGACATGGGAGTGAAGAAGTACAGCTAGGTTTGCAGTTTGTTACACTTGATGGATGATATTGGTCATCTTTTGGCATATTTCCTTGTGTCAGTGAGGGTGTTACGGGGATGTGGGAGTCTGTAGCGTGTGGGTCACAGGACTTAGGACAACTATGAGACTTGTTGGTCCTTTCTTTTTGCCTTCTTTCTTTTCTTTCTTTTCTTCTCTCCTTAGAAAGAATGCAAACTCATGAAAGCCCATACTGTTAATATCAAGCACACGTGCTGTGCCCTAAACGCTTATGGTGCTCATCAAAAAGTTCCTGGCACAGGAGCTGTAGTTGCAAGGCTCAGCCCTGGAGATGCTCATTCACAGTCATGGATCTTTGAACTTCAATAGCACTTTTTTTTTTTTTTTTTTCCTTTTTGCTACTGCCTGAAATAACTCTACTCTTGGTCCCGCTGTGCATTGCCAGCTCTCCCTCTCTTGCAGCCCTCTATGTGCTCCTGGCAGGTGCCATCCTGGCATGAAGGGGAGGACAAGATTTGTGTTCTGATCGCGTGGTCCCTATCGGGGATGCTCTTCAGAGGCTGTGTAGTCAAAACAGCAGTGTCGGTACCAAGGAATGACCAACGCCTTGGAGTTGCCCTAGCAAATTTTGTCTGCTTGGCAGCTCTGTAACCTCCTTTCCTTTTCCTTGCCCTCCTTCCAAGGAGGGGAACTAACATAACCAGATACAAAGGATACGAATATGCCTTCCAGGGAAGGGCTGTTATGGTCCCTCAGCTCCAGCCGGATGCATGGCCGGGCATCAGTAAGATTTTGCTCTGATTTTCCATCTCTAGATCAGTGTGGCCGAGGGATGGAGGAAGCCGAGGAGGGGAACTAACATAACCAGATACGAAGGTCCAAGGAAGGGCTGTTGCGATCTCTCAGCTCCAGCCTGATGAATGGCCGGGCATCAATAAGATTTTGCTCTGATTTCCCATCTCTGGGTCAGTGTGGCCGAGGGATGGAGGAAGCCCCTTGCAAAGAGACTCGGGAGCTGTGCAGGTGCTTCTTCCTTTAAAAGCCTTGGGGTTAGGCCTGGTTTGATTTGCTTCCCTGGGAGCAGAACGCAGTATTTCTCAGGAAAAGGCTTGTCATTTGGAAGTCAGATCCCCCTCCTCAATGCCCCCCCTGTGTAATGGAGACAGAAATAATAATGTTTTGACTGCAAAAAGAGGGACAGGATGCAATTAGGGCATTTAAATCTGCACAAGCCTATAATGCTCAGGTGTAAACAGGTGTCTGATGTTAGATGAGATCTGAGGTTTGCAGCGATGCCTTTACTTGCTTGGTGAGGCTTTGAAGGCAGAAATCACCAGTGTTTTCCAGGCAGCTGGAACTGCATCCTGGAACTGGATTAGCAGCGGATTTGCTAGTCCCTGTGGTGCTTGCTCCTGAGAAATAGGAATTCTTGGAAAAGCCCTCATGCTTGGAGGTCGCTCGAGCAGGACGGATTGGTGATCCATGGGGCTGTGCTGGTGTGTCCGTGCTGGATTTCTCTGGGCATGGTAGTGCTTCATGCTGCAAGTTAAAGAGTAATCAGGGACCACGGTCATGCGGCGGCTGCTCCAGCAGCTCCCGTCCCCTCCCCACCCTTACACCATGCACTGGGGTGCACAAAGACCGGTCCCTGGTGCCCTTCTGGTCCCCCGTTTTGGAGGTCTGGGTCTTGCTGATGTTAGGATCAGTGCTGCATCTCCCTGCTATGCCACGTGGGCAGGGGATGTTCTAAAAGGCCCAAGTGATGCTGCGGCATCCGTGAGCGAGGTGGGGAAGGGAGGAGAGCAGCCCGTGCTCCATGTAAAGCTGCGTACAGCGGGAACCAGCCTGGGACCAGCAAGCCTTGGTCTGCTCTGCAGCCCGGCCTGGCTTTAGTTAGCGAGACCTTGTGATGACCTTGGCATCTCTCCTTTACCGTCCTGTGCCCTCTGCTTAGGTGTTTCTTTTAAAAGGAGCCTTGGGGACACCTAAAGTAAGTAGGCACCGCTTTTGTTTCTACCTTCCGGTACCAAGGGGAGTCTAGAGGAGGTGGCTCCCCCCTCAGTGTCCCTTCCACCGCTTTGGTTTCGGACCGTTTCCTCCATCGTTGTCCGGGGTAGCGCGGATGCTTTAGCCGGCTGGCGCGCGCGGGGGACGCTGGCGCGCAGGGCTGGCAGCTGCTGGTGGGTGGAGAAGCCCACGCAGCCTTTATTTTAGCTGGCTGTGTCACATGTGCCTCGGAGACACATGGCGTTATCGGATCGCTCCCTCCGAGCTGTTTCTCCGTGGATCGCTCTGCACGTGCTGCAGGTCCCTCCTCTACTTTCGGTTCTCGTGCTCTCCCTGCTCTGCTTCTCGGATGCACAGGTTAAGGCAGGCGTTTATCCGAGGACCCCTGGGAGCAGATCCGGACTCCATCTGAGCGCTGCTTTCAGAATCCCCCTCTCATCTCAGGGCTGGGGTTTTGGGGGAGGAAGCACACGGGAGATGATGTTTATTCTAGCCGTTAAACATCCCATCTCCTTTGAAGGCTTCCCGAATGTAGGCCAGTTATCCCTTTGTACTTGTGCATTTGTGTTCTTGTACTTCTTGGGATAAAGCTTCATTATTTCATTTTAAAAAATGGATTTTGGAACAAATGCCATTTCCGCCTACGTTTTCCCTCAGATGCTGTTGGCTCTTTGGATTCTTATGATCTGATTCCACTCTTGTTATTTACCTTCCTAGTGGCATAAGTGAAGTCAGGAAAGTTTAACTCCCAGGATGCAGATTTTGCTCGGTCTTGGCTCCGTCCAGCAGAGACATTAATGGGCACTAAGTGCTGAGCACTTAACGAGTGCGGCCGGGTCCTGCTGTGCTGCACGGACGTGTACGCTGTAATTAGCTCTAGCAAAGGCTGCAGGTCCTATATTTCCTCTTAATCCCCTAGCCACACTGAATCACCAGATTTCTTAAAGTAGTGCTTATTCACGCCCTGGTCTAAGAATTGACATTTCTTCAAGCTCTCCTTTGTTTAGCTTTGTTTTTGCATTTTCTTCCGTTTTGGCATTTGTTCTTCCTTTTCCATCGTTCCTCGAGGCTCTGCTCTGCTTTTAACGTCCACACGCAGCAACCCACGATCCAGGAAACCGTGGTGGCTGCGTGTGGATGTTAAAGAAGGGATCTTGGGAGCCCTTAGTGTCCTCCCAGCAGCAAGTGTTGGTTACTCCAGGTGCTCCCAGTCCCCACAGGGTACGTGCGATGGGTCCTGCGCTATGTTAGACTCCACGCTGGCCGTAACGGGGATGGGGAGAGCGAGCTTAAAGCATGAGGTTCCTGCCCAGGCTCTTAGACAGATAGGGCTTTTACTTGCATACCTCTAGGCTGTGTTTTTTTTGTTGTTGTTTGTTTTTTTTTGGGAGGGGAGATTAAGCGTGGTGTTTGGAAATGGGATAAGGTTTGGATGCAAAGACTGACTCTGAGGTGTGAGACTGGGAAGGAGGCGGATGAGCAGTGTGTCTATAGCACAGATGCCTTCCATAAGGCATGACTGTGGGAACGGGTTAGGGAGGGATAATTTGGGGGAGGAACTTGCAGCACATGATGTGCAACTGCTGATGCCTACGTTTGGGTTCCTCCACAGGTTTGAGGTAGTTCCCACAGAGAAGGGGTGGCACTACAATGCATGTATTGCAGACTGTACCACCAAGCTGCCTAGTTTAGCTGTGGCAACCCTCTCATCTGTGTGTATGTACAAGAGGAGAGCTCACAGTGTGCGATAGATGGGCTAAATGCAGGCAAACCTTTTGCTTTAATTTGGCCAGGGTAGTATTTAGCTGCCTTCCTCAGTATCAGCTTGAGTTTATTGAATTCTCTGCTGTCTCTGAATGTAGGAGATATTTTTTAGGAGGCATTAAGAGGCTTCTCAGAACCTTGACTGTTGCCCTTGGCCATAGCAGCAAGACACTGTCTTGGTGAGATATCTGCATGCTGATGCTTGGGGAGCAAGGGCCTGAAAAGAGACCTTTCAAAGCAAACCTTAACAGTGCTTTTGCAATGAGTTGCAGGAGACATGTCTGAAAGTAAAGCTAAGAAGATTGAAATAAAAGACGTTGACGGGCAAACGCTGAGGAAGCTGATTGATTACATCTACACAGCTGAGATAGAGGTCACAGAAGAGAATGTGCAGGTAAGCTGGGTTCAACCTCTTCCTTGGGAACTGAAGTAAAAAGCTGGCAACTCAAAGGTACAGGGTGCTTTGAGGGCAAGTGATCTTTTCAGGCTGTAGGAAGTAAAAGGTTGAGCGTGAAAAGAGCTGCTTCCACTCTCTGCTGAGTCTTGAGGCACTTTGCTGCTTTCCCTGCACTTAAGTCATGTTGCATTTAGCTTTCACATCATGCTCTTATAATCAGATTAGGCATTTGCCTTCCAAGAAGCTGTGATGACTTGTGGGTCAGTCTGTCGAAGGTCAAAATATACTCAAACAAGCAGCAAGTCAAATAGCTGTTTTAAGGTCACAGCGGAAGAATCTGGCTGTTAGTTTTTAAATTCTTCTGGGTAATATGAGTTGTTTGACAGAGCTTTAAGTAGAATGTATTGTTAAAATGAAGCCTTTTTTCCTCTTTCTTTTTTTTTTCTATGTGCCTGCTCTGCCTTGAAGTTCTTTGAGGTGAATATTTGTCTAGAAGTGGAAAGAGTACTTGAAAGGCAGTCTGTGTATAAAGCAGGATGCTCAGGAGAGTGTCTTGTTGCCTGTGTTGCAAGACTGTGACTGTATATAAGCTGGCAGGGCTTTTTCTTTGTATTTACTGTAAGAAAGCAGCCATGCACTTACTCTCTGGACCTTGACGAGGCTGCTGGGTGCTTGTGTGCAGACAGGCTATTCATTTGCTCCCTGTTTTTGTCTGCAATTTGTCGCCGTCCTCTTTGAGTTGGATGTTGGACAGGGTATCGACAGTCTTTACTGTTTCAACCCTTTGCTCCTTGGATGGGGAGGACACACCGACCTTGCTCTTACAGCAGGAGTTCACCTGGGCTGGCTCTCCAGTGTTGTAGCCCTTCAGTTACCTTTAATTATGGTGCACATGCAGGCTCATAAGGAGCTGGGAATGCTACCTTGCTCCTGTAATTCCTAGGGCCTCTAGAATCTTCCATTGTGGAAAGAAAGATGCCCCTTGTCACGCCGTCAAGCTGTATTCCCTTCCTATAGGGAGCGTGAAGACTCTATCCGTGTGTCGTCTGGGCCGTATGCTTTCCTTCTCCCCTCCTGGTTCCCAGCTGGCTTGGAAGCACCCACTCGGCACGTGGGAAGCGTGGAGCTCGGGATACCATCTGCTGTTCTGGATCCCGTTGATCTACGTTGAATGAGACTTGTTTTCAGTCACTAGGCATGACTAGGCCAACTTTTTCCCCACGTGAGCGTTTTGGTGCTCAGCTCTGCCTGCACCTGCATATGAACAGCTCAGGATGCTGGGTTTGATGGCCTAGGGCTTGCAGAGAGCTCAAGGAAGGAGCCCTGTCTTCACGTTCTGTCTCCCATCTCGCTGGCGGTCACATCAAAAATAGGAGCCTGGTAAATACTGAGGTTTGGGAATGAAATATTTTCCTAATCTAATAAAGGAGGCCCTTTCTCTACGTGATTAATTTAAATAACTGCTCTGTGAATAACTCTTTGGATAGAGGTAGGATAATTCATGAGAGCTAAGAAATGAAGCCAGTCTAAAACAAGATTAAGTGACGACTTTAGGTTTTACTGTGTGCTTAAAAATATCCATGTTGAAAGTGTTTTGTGGAATTAAATCTAATTGGGTGAAGAAACCAATCAATAGAAGATTTGATGAGAAGTCTCCATCCTGTCTCCGGGTATTTTTGGCACTGACCAAAGCAGAATAATGAGGTTAATATCTACTGTAGGGTTTTTTGTGTGGCCATAGAAAGAGTTGACAGAAAAAAAACCTATGATTCCAAGGGGCCTGGTTTTTTAGAGAGGGATTTCAAGGCAGATGGTTCAGTGATGATGGAAAGTTGAAAGGCTCTGCACTGAAGGGTGTTTTGCCTCTGTTTGGTGTTTCAACTTGTTTGGAAGGCATAGAACAGAGGAAGGATTTCTGTTTTTGTGGCAGTCATGGACTAGTCTGAAGAAAACCCATTTGGGCACAGCCATCCGCACTGTCTTCTGCTTTTCCTCTCTGACCCACATATCAGGGTAGCTGTAAAGACATCTGCTTCTTACACATGGCATAAGGATCTAACTTGAAGATGGAGTTGGATAAATGTATTGGGAAGAAGATTTTACTGTGCAGTTTCTGTAAAAGTGAGAAAAACTGAAGTGAACAAATTGGAAAGGTTCACGGATGCTTGTGTGCAGCCCTGGTTGGCTGCAGTGGCAACCATATGCTTACGGCCTGGTGCTGTGTGTCTGTATGTAAAAACTGTCTGTTTTAACATACCCATTCATTGGATTTTTCCCTGAAGTTCTGGTCTGGAAGCTGGAAGGGTGGCATTGCTGCTTGCTTTTCACCCCTCATGTCAAAGCTACCAGCCCGATGAAGGGTGATGGGAGCTAAGTCTTTGGAAAAAGACTCGCCGTGACTTACCGTGACTTTCCTGAGCAGGGCTGAGGTTCAGCCCACACGGGGAATTCAAGTGCCACCAGCTTCTCTGCAGAGCTGCTTGACCTTGTAGAGCGTTGACCTGAACGTGGTGAAGGACCCAAAGCTGTTAGGCTGTGACTGATGTGTAGTGAGCAGGCAGAGTTCACCAAGAGTGTGCTAGAAAATTATTTTGCTGCCTCTTTGAAGGCTTAGGGGTGTTGATGCCGCTGTGTTTTTGCAGCAAGTGAATGGCTGGCTGCTTTTGCTGGCTCTCTGTGTCCTTGTCATGTGGTTTTCTGAGTGTTTGGCAGAAGATGCGTTGCAGTGAATAGGAGCACAAGATCTCTTGTGCCAGCAGCGCTGAAGCCCAACAGGCTGATGTTGAACTGCTGGTGGGATGTAGGCTGAGAGCGTCTGTCATTCAGGGGGGTGGATTTTACTTAGGCTGTAAAAATGAGGGTTTTGATCTGCAAGCAGCTATGATGGACGAAAGCAGAGAAAACTGTGACAAAATCCAACAGCTGTTACTGAAAAATACGTTGGGACTGAGTGACCTAGGAATGGAAGCACTTGTGTGTGTGGGGTTCCTCTCCAGGGTCAAGTTGTTCTCCTGGGCCTCTGCTAAGCGTTTTGCTTTTGTGGAGCCTATTTACGAAGGCAGGAGGGCAAGGAGGTGTGGAAATGATTCCTTTGGGTTCCTGTTTTAGACCCAACTCATCCAGAAACCAGGCAGCCCTGCATGGGAAACACTCGTGTTGTATCTCCTGCATATCTCTGGACACTACCTTCTTGGGGTATTTAGTTCAGAAAAGAAGAGGTGCTGAATCCTGTGGTCTGTGTGATGGGGCTGGTGGTGCCGATGACCCGGGAGAGGGGTGAGGAGGCCTCTCATCCCCCTCGGAGCTCTGGTGAGGACCCCAGACCTCTTGCTGTAGACCATGGATGCGGTTGGTCCCTGTTCAGCGTGTCGGTGGGTACAGATCCTCACTGGTGGCATTTAATTACCTGCAGGCAGCCTGAGCCTTGCAGTCCCAGGCGAGAAAGTCATTACTGTTAGCATTGTAATGACTCCCTGGGAAAAGTCCTGATTAACCTGATTTCACAATTAAACTCCTACTAATGAAGTGCAGGATCCCACGTGCCTTGTGTGCCCTTCCAGACTAGCCACAGGCTGGTTCACACAGAAAGAAAATGGAAAATGTGCCTGGAAATCAGCTTCTCAGGGGGACTAGATGTTGGAACTGTCATCTTTGCAGACATAATAATAACAAAAAATGTCTTAGGAAGTGGTGAAGAAAGCTTAAAATCCATAGCACTTCCTTTTCAGCAGCACCTCAGGTTACCTGGAGAACTGAGAACTTCAAAATTGAGGTGGGAGTGTATCTAGGACAGATGCCGCTTTGATTTTTCCAAAATAAAGGGCTGATAAGTGAGACATTTCATCTCTTTCTCCCCTAGTTCTCTCTGAAGGCTGCAGCTACAGAAAGTAAAAGGCAAAGCACGGTTCAGCTCAGCTTTAGGAGCTATAACAAGTTGGGGCTATTTTTTTCCCTCTGTGAAAGATCCTTGCCTTGGATCTGTTGCCGGAGCAGTAGGAGCCCTCTCAGCAGCAGTTGTGCCTGCTGTTATTGCAGCAGTTAGGGCTGTGCTTGGGCAGTGCAGTTGGAGAAGGTAGATTAGGGATGAACAGGCAACGCTGACGGCAGCTCGAAGCCATCCCATTCCGAGCCCATATTTAACCTGCCTGTCGCGACATCCATGTGTTCCTCTGGTCACTGTTTCTTCGGGAAGCTCTGGAAAAGCATCTTGCTGTTTGTGCAGATACTCAGCCCAGTTCTGGTCAGGGACGTGCTTGCTTGGGCTTGCATCTAAATCCTCCTTTGGTTGCCAGTGTGAGCAGGTTGGCAAAACTGTCCAACCCTCGTAGCAACCCAGCTCGTTTGGTTGAAAGATACCTCTAGTTCAAAGGTTTATAAAAGCGATTGCATGGGCAATGCTCTATAAAGCTTGAGATGGTTTTATATACAGAAAGAGACATTATAGAGTCTGCTGACTGAGAGAGACCACTTCTGGTTAAATAGATTATTATTGCCGTTTAGTAGCATAAATGAGTTCTTCATGTAATTTATTTAGCAAAGAAATTTAAGTAAATAATTTTGATATAGTTTTGAAGACTATTAGATTTTGGTAAGGAAGTTGATTTGGTAAAGAAGCCAGCAGACCTCTATGCGCTTTCTCAAATTGTTCCCGGTGGTTGGAATTCAAGGATGAGGAGCCAAATCCAGGCTTAAATGATGTAACTTGCCTGGATATTAGTAGAGTTGTAGTTTGGTCCTGCTGCCTATTTAGGCAGGGCATTTCCTCTTGTTATTGCTGAAGGAAACGGAGCTCGTGCTAGCGGATATCCTCTGCTTGCTTTTCGGCCCCCCTGTTTAAAAAAAAAAAAAAGTGAGTGGCAAGATGTTCAGCTGGGGAATGAAAAAGAGAACATCCACTGATTTCTTGACAGGCTATTTATATTCTGCTTTTAAACAGTATTAGATGAAAATGCCCCTTTCTTATCAATTACAGTGGAGTAGGGCACCTTCTGCTCTGTCCTGTAGAGCAGGCATGAGACTGAACTTGTGGCTTTAGGATGTCCAAGAGGCTGTACTGGGCAGCTGGTCAGTGATAGTAGTGAGAAGAGTCCATCTTAGAGGCAATATCCCAAAATATTTGAGCCAGTCAGTGTGCTTGCATCTGCATGTATGTGCTCTTGGTTGCTCAGGAGGAAGCCTAGGCTTGTGCATTGCCACAGGGAGTTTGCAAGGATCCCACTTCTTATGCAAGTCTTGATTTAATTAAAAGCACAAACTAATCTCCTCCAGACATCAAGATGTTTGGGCCAACGTGGACTCATAGGTTTGTTTAATATCTTTATTTTATTGTAACCTGTTGGGGGTGGATTTTGAAATGCATTGGTGGTGTAGGAAACACCTGGGGGAAGGTTGTGCGTTCCCGACAGCTCTACGATGGGCAGGAGTGCCGGGGAGGCAGCGGGAGGCAGGCAGAAGGGCTTCATTTCCCTTCCCTCCACGCCGAGTTGAGGGTGGGGAGGACTCTTAACCTGTTTGTTTTGTTTAGCACTCGCTTGTTCTTTCAGTCGGAAATAATTTTCCGGAAATCTGTGCCCAGATGGTGAGCGCAGATGCCTGGTTGGGACACGTGTGGACCAGCCAGGGTTGTGGAAGAGCTGGAATAAGAAACGCCTGCAGCTGCTGTAAGACCATAGGAGAGGAAATCGCTGATGTCACGGGCTGTAACATCTAGACTGACTTTATTTTTCACTTCCTGTTCTCAGTCGCTGGCCTCAAAGATGTTCTTTCCAGCAGATACCACATTCCTCATAGAGAAACCCCTTTATAAAAACGGCATCTGACTCCCCAGCTCATGAGCCAAGAGAGTTTTGCTGGAAATGCTTTGGCTTCAAGGTCTTGAGGATGATGAAGCACTGGGCTTGCTTCAGCTTTGAATGTGGGAGGACACATGCAGACACAGAGGAAAAAGAACTCTGTGCTTGGATCTACCTGCAGCAAAACCAGAAATGGGATGTGTCCAGAGCTGCTTCTGTCTTGTTCTCCCCTTGCTTGCCTTGAGGTCCTTCGGGAGAGCAGACATGAGAAGAGCTCCATTAGATCCACGTGGCGAAGCTATTTCCATCTCTTAGGCCAACGTGGAGCAGGCCAAGTGTGGAGTGGGAGCTTCCACATTTAGACAGTACTAAAACATTAATACCCCTTTTTACATCTCTGTGACGTGGCCCTATGTAAAGAGGAATTGGACCTTGCTTCAGTTGGGACTCAACCCTTCTCTGTTGCTAACTCTCAATTCCCCTTTCTTGTCTTTTCAGGTTTTGTTGCCAGCTGCCAGTCTCTTGCAGCTGATGGATGTTAGAAAAAACTGCTGCGACTTTCTTCAGTCCCAGCTGCATCCCACGAATTGCCTGGGCATTCGAGCCTTCGCGGATGTGCACGCGTGTACCGAGCTCCTGCAGCAGGCGAACGCCTACGCAGGTGAGGAAGGGGGTGTCTGTTTGGAGAGGGCAACCTGTTTCCAGGTCGTGTTGGCTGATGTGTTGAGCAAGATCTACGTATCCTGGTGAAGCTCTTTATCCTGCTAGGAAGAACGGAATGGATTACCTAATCAGGTTGCGGACTTGTAACCTTTTTGTGGTATTGCAAATTGAGGAATTGAATTTGGTTGCAAGGAAAACCTTGGAGATAAAAAGGATTCTTTGGCTCCCAGTCTACAAAATATTTCACCAGGATATTATTCCTAAGAAGCTCTTTGGCTGCTGCTCGCCAGCGCAAGCCATGCTGGTGTGCTGGTGTCTTCCTCTTGTACACTGGCCCATGACAGCAGGAAGACATGACTGTGCACTCTAGGAATAACTGGTGCTAGGCAAAATTATATCTCAGTGGGAGCATCAACAGTCAGCTAAAGCAAATTGTCATGAGATGTGAGCCTCTGCTCCGTGTACCGATAGCTGCTAGCTCCATGGGTGTCCTCCCCAACGCCTCTGCAGCGCTTGCTCCCTTGACAGTGCATGTGCTCGCTCCAATAAACGGGTTCAGGCAACTGCTTTCTGTGTCTCTGTCCTAAGGAATCACTGTAAAACTGCTCCAAGCGGGGCCATGCTCTTCCCTGCGCTTTCCAGCTTTCTCCTGGTAAGGAGTCCTTAATACCTTTTTTGGGAGAAACTGATATTTTTTTTTCTACTCAGTCCTGCCTATTTGTATAGCCAAAAATACACCTGCTGTCTCCTGGAGCACCTGCTCTGTCTTGCAGCATTTTCTTGCTCTATTATTTTCTTTAACTGGACCGTAAGTAGGCTCTGTGGAATAAAACTATGCCCACCAGGTCCTCCTCACTTCTCCTGCAAATAAAAGTAAAACCTTTTCAGCTGCTCTGGCTGTATTACCCCCTGGAGGAAAAGGTACCCTGGAAGGAATGGTTAATTGTGTAAAGGCTTGCCTGCAATATCTCATTATCCTTGCTTTTAGGCCCTGTTTAATCTTTAACCCAACAAGCAGTGCATTCACTGTATATTTATTTGGTTGTTTGGCAATTAGAAGGTCTGCTTTGTTGTTTCTTTGGCCTTCGTGTGTCCCAGTTAGTACAATAGCCCATGTAATGTTAATGAAATGCCATTAATAAAAATGCCATTAAAATTCTTTTCTCTATGTTGTTTATGTAACGAGCATTAAGTGGAGACAGAAGTCCACAGGCTCGAGAGTCCTTGAGTGTATGAGCTCAGTTTCTTGGGAAATGCTTAGTTCAGCCTTGGGATAACTTAAGGGGGTAGAGGGGCCTTGCTGATGCAAGAAGGCACAAGTTCTTGCTCAAATCAGTAAATATTTTACTTACTTTGAACAAATAAGAGGAGCTCAAATATCTTTCTACTGCCAAAATGCTAGTCGAGAATGAATAGGAGATTGTGTCCAGAAGCCAGAGAACGTACAGATTCCTGTGTCAGCAGCATTTCCTTTTACACAAGTATTTAAGGCCAGTTCATTAGAACTTGTGCATGCCTCCAACCTAACACAGGTCATGAAGCTTTATCCAGATGCTGCTGTTTTTAGTGAAGAGTCTTGGCTTAGTTTCTGTCCCCAGGAAGCTAAGTGGGGTCCGTAGCAGGGGAAGTGTCCCTGAGCGCTGGCGCTGGTAGGGGGTTGTTTAGGTGACATCTCCGAGGTGCTGTCTGGACGTTGGGCCTTCCTGAGCCTCTCCCGTGCTGCTTTTTGGCCAGCAAAGTACCTTACAGAGGCGAAAATAAGGGGTGGATTTTGCTGCAAGGGAGCTCTTTGGATACCTGAGTGTGAACCTTTCAGACCTAAAGGCACTGAGGCTTGGGAAAAGCAGCTTCAGATAAAGTGCCTGAGACTCAAGCTGAAGGTAAATGGGGCTGTGTAGGTGAGATTTAATGGGCACGTATTTTTAACAAATGCTTGTGAAATTCTCTGCAACTCCCTTGTGGCCGGTTTATCCTATAAATGGTTAATTATTTCCTAGCACCTTGTAATAGATGTAATGCAGAACAGATTGGACGATGCCTTTTGGATCCATACTGCCATGAGCCAAAACCTCCCAGTCTGTGGCAGTAACCAGCAGTACAAGCTGCTGATTTTGATTCCTAAGCGACTCCCAGAGTTGCAGTGGGAAGGGAACGTTCAGAAACAAGAAAGGATGAGCAGAAATTTGTAGTCAGAGAGAGGTGAGGAGACTTGGGAATGTGGGAGGGAGATGCTCAAGGAGGGGAAAGATGAAATTGCCTCCAATTCAACAGCACATTGCCTTAAAACCAGCTCCAGGACTAGTTTATGTTCAGCGATTTTTTTGGGTCCAGCATTCAGTGGTTGCCTGGGTCACTTCGTGCTCTTACAGTAATGTTCTCCGAGTGCTCTAGTCCCTCCATTGACCTCAAGCCTGGATTTCATTATAATTTTCTGTTCCACCTTTTTATTTGTTGAACAGAGCAGCACTTTCCCGAGGTGATGCTGGGAGAAGAATTTCTTAGCCTTAGTCTGGACCAGGTTTGCAGTTTAATATCAAGTGACAAGCTCACGGTCTCCTCTGAAGAAAAGGTACTGTAAATTATGTAGCAACAGTAAATGTAAGAGTGCTGGAATGTTTCTGAATCTTATTCTGGAAACTGTTCTTGTGCCCTGCTATTTAGGGGCCATTTTCCAACAGACCTTGCATGGAAAGGAAAAATAAAAATAATGAGAATCTTAAAAGCACATACAAATGACCTTCACTTGGTTGTTCTTTATATGAAGTAATGATTCTCAGATCCATATCTTTGCCCGAAACCCTGAGGGGAGAACTGAATTCCATCCTGGAAGGCCGGGAACCTTCCATTGGCATAAAGCTCCTGTTAACTGCCTTAAAAATCATGCAAAACTCAATTTCTCTTGGATGGGAGGAGTTATTGCCTTGGTCTGCACATTGGGACAGAACTACTAAAGGAGTTCCACCATCTGAAAGGAAGGAAATGTTTTTTCTAGTGTCATTGGTGCTTTTAATGAAAGGGAATAAAAAGACATTACTTGATGTTGTTTTGTGGTTTATAATGTTCTCTGAGCTTAAAAATGAAAGAATTAGACACAGAGGATGGCCCAGAGGTCATGGTGCTTGGTGAGCTGTAGGTCCCTTGTTTTGGCGTGGGGCTTCTTGCATGACCCACAAGAGGTTTGGGAGAAAGAAACAGATTCCTCTGGAGGCTCCCTGAGCTCCTTGGGTCTGAATCATTGGTACAGGGAGATGGAGCCAGGAATAGACCCTCGGGGAGGCTGCAGGGTTGTGTGGCTTTGGAGCTTAGGACCCCATTGAAGATGTGCTGCGCCTCAGACCAACCACATCCATCCTGCATGGCCCCGACGGGCTGCAGATGCCTGTGCAAAAAAACGAAGTGGTGCAAATTCACGTCAGAATCATTGTGCGTGAGCCAAGCAGCTTGCAAGGGGAAGTGCGAGTTTAGCAACGGAGTTTTTCCAGGCCTGGGCAGCATTGTTAAAGAGCTTTTCTTGGCCTGGTGCCTGGAGAAATCAAAGTGTTCGCTCCCTCGTTGCAGCATCACGCAATGCAAACCAGCACGGCTTGGGCGGCTTTCATGTTGAGTGTGTGGGTCTGTGGGCGGACGAGCCGTTTTCCTTAACTTTTATACTTCCTTTTTGCTTAATATATAAGTGCATACACTTGTATGTATTTGCACGCAATGAGTAGGAATTTATTCCTAAACAGTATGACGGAGCAAGTAGGCAAATACTGGGGCCATCTGAGGGCTAAATTATGACAACCAGAGTTTGCGAGATGCTTTCTGGTTCCTGCACTTACTGCGGCTGCTATATAATGCAGCCAGTGACCTGGGGTAATTCCATCTCTCAGAGCAGCTGGGAGTATCTGAGCTGAATCCGAGCAGGGCCCGAAGGAACAGACCCACTGAGGGAAGTATTGCTGGTATATATATTGCTGGTGTGTATATATATTTATATATATATATATGTATATATCTTTTAGGTCCTGCATGTGTGCCCAGGCGCAGGTGGTTTATCCCTTGCCCACACTTGCTGCTTCACCTTCCTTTAAGACTCATTCTCCATCATCCTGAACTATAGCAGGATCCGTCCCAGGCTGGTGTCCTGCTCTGCAGCATTAGTGCCAGAAAGATTGATGAGAAGCATGTATTATTGGCTGAACGTTGCTTTTTCCCTCCTTCTGGGCTCATTTGCAATTAAAAAATCTCAGAACTACCATTTTTTTCCTAATTTTTCAGGCTTTTTACCCACAGTGAAATAGCTTTCCCTCTCCTCCTCCCCTCTGCCCCCCGCATTTGAGA